TTAAGGACTATTGTGTCAAGTCAGTGTACTCAGACATCCCTCTGTGCAAGTTCACTCACTGGGCTTCAGTCAGCCTATCCATAGTCTCTCCCTCATCCAGCAGTAATCAGCTGCCAGTAGTTCTTCAGTTAAGGTTGGGGCCTGCTGTTAATTTTGAAAATTCTACACTGGGTATTTGTCTGTTTGAGTTTGCATGGGTCTTGTGCATGCTGACACCATTGCTGTAAGTTCCTATGAGCAAGGTCCCTGGAACATATGTCTTTATTTCCTTATGGTCAGGCACCTCCTCCCCTGGCACTTAAAATCTTTCTCCCCCCTCTCCTGCAATGGTCCCTGAGCCCTGGGTAGGTGGACTCTAATATAAGAGTGCTGTTCAGGGACCCACACTTTGAAGACTCTAATTCTCTACATTTTGGCCAGTTGTCAAAATATCCTAAATGTTTAACAGACAATCAAAATTATTGTTATTATGACTATCATTATCTCCTGTACTTTCTTAGTGTTGAGTGTCACTCTTATCTGAGTGAGGCAGGAAAGAAAATTCTTTGCAAATGGCTTAGCTTAAGAGAATCTAACAAAATACTGAGAACAGAGGCAGAATTAATCTAAACAAATTGAATGAGCAGACATTAATGACAGAAAAAAAATTTACCCTTCATTCTGAGGGTTCAAGGCAGAGCCTACTATTTCTAGAGCCTCTTAAGACCTGAAGAGAAAAAGGAAAATAATGTGACAGTTTATTCTATGAGGAGCCCCAGGGAAGAGTTCTGCTTGGACTGATGTGACCATGTGAGCATACTCATGCTGGACCAGAAATGGAACAAGACAGAACTAGAGCTCCTTCACTCTGCTTGCCATTTCTGACTTCTCACTGGTTCCTCCCACTGACAATAGTTAACTTTAAGGTAAACACTGAAGCAACTGAAGAGTCCATAACTGCTGACAGACTGAGAAAAGGGGCCGTGCTGAGGAAGAGAGAGCACATTTGGATCAGATCATGGCGGCATAGTATGAATCCTCTCCATATCTATATTACTTATCAATGTGGCACGTTCCCTGTTTCCAATAAATAAGGAAGTAAAGAAGGCTTAGAATCAATGGATAGTGCAAGTTTATGAAAACTAATTGATAGTCAAAACTTTCCAAACCTTTCTCCTTCTGCCCTGTGCTACTGTATTTTAGATGTCCCAAAGAAGAGGAATTAACTTTTCCCAAGACAGAAAAAAATTATACATGAACTAAAATAAACTATAAGTCCCATTGCTTCCATGTTATTTGGAGATTTGATTCCCTTGTGAATTGAGCAGTCAAAACGCAAGTCATAAATGAGTTTACCATTCTCAGAAATGGAAATAGGCATTGTTTATAATATAAATCACTCTTGGGAGGAAATAATAAAGCCATAGGGATTTGGTCCCTGTGAGACAATTCTGTTATAAAATTGCTAGGTTTTTCACATCAGTACTGTCAACGGTGAAATTACTTTACAACCCCAGGTAGGAGTATCCCAAGTTAATTTAGTTTGCTATCCAGAAATAAACGGTTTAATCGAAAACATAAATTGATCTGAATCCTAAAATAATGAGCCATTAATTGATTCTATTGAAATGTCATTATTCTTTTCTGGCTAAGGTACTTGTAAACAAATGACCAGGAGATGTGTATTTGCAAATGGAAAGGGAGCTAGACCAAAGTGAGCTAGAATAATATTATTGACAGCTCCCAATTAGGTTAACACTTATACAGATGTTGCTGTGTCCACAACCATAGACAAGATACAATCCTTGTGCCTAAGGAGCTTGAGCTTTGATGCAGAACCTTGTTTAGACTTGATCTTTACCTTTAACCATGGTAGTAGTAACTATAACTTTTTATGTACTTACCCAATGATTCAATGACACGTGTACTTAAAATATTTTCCTGAATTAACTTCCTTAATATTGAATTGCTTTATGTATGAAAATATTTTTTAAGTAAGAAACATAAGATAGAGAGTTTAATGATTTACCCAGACCCTACATCTGGGAACAAGAGGAACAAGATAGCTGGGTTTGGCTGCACTCTGCTGATGCTCAGTAGTTATACATAAACTTACTTGATCAGAAATGGTGTTAAGTAATTTGCACAATTCCTTTTGAGTTCACAATGTTACCTTAGTTATAAGACTTGTGTCATCATTTTTTCAACCACTTGACTGAAAAAAATGACCACTTTCATGTTTCTAATTTGAATTAAACTTAGTAATAAGTGCATTTCTTGAAGGTATGTTCTTTTGATTACTGTTTCTTCATGATATTAAACCTCAACCACAAGTCAAGGCATTACTATCCTTGTTAAAGTGAAATACATGAAGTTCAGACACTTTGAAATGCTGAGTCATGCAGGAGTCAGTAATATGAGAGGTGTTCAAGGTACAGAAGATCTCAGAAATGCCAGACTGGCATGTCCATTAAAAATGTGTTGAGGTTTCTGCTGGGCGTGGTGGCACACACCTTTAATCCCAGCACTTGGGAGGCAGAGGGAGGTAGATCTCTTGTGAGTTCAAGGCCAGCCTGGTCTATATAGAGAGTTCCAGCACAGCTGTGGCTACAGGGAGACCCCGTCTCAAAAAGACCAAAAAAACCCAACCCCCCCAAAATATGTGTTGAGGTTTCTTGGATTAAAGTTCATAGGGTACAGTATTCCTTTTTTAAAGAAAGAATAGCTTTTACCCTAGAGTACTGTGTTATCTATAGTTTTCATAGTTTCCATTACTTCATTTTCCCAGAGTAAAGAGAAATGTATGGAAATGCTGAATATTTTAAATCTCAATATTTCAATAAATAAAGACCTTAAAGTACCATTCTGGTACCTCCCCCAAATTTTTGTGTATGTGGCACCAATGATCTTCAATCAAGAAATGCAGAAAAGAGAATTTTTTTAGGTATCTTATTTCAGTCTTCAAGTATAGAAAGAATAAAGTAATATACAAAATCTTTCAAACGTCAAATTCATAGGCTGCCTTATAAGTGACTTTTATCGTGGCATCATGCTTTAAAAAAGAGTCACTATCCTATAGAATTTCATAAGTGTGTATATCTTTGTTCTGGCTTTTTTTGGTCTTTTTTGGTTTGTTTTTGTCGTGATGGCTGTTTTTATTTGAGATAGGATCTCACCGTGTAGCCCTGGCTGACCTGGAAGACACTAGGTAGATCAAGGTGAACTCACAGATATTTGCATGCCTCTGCCTCCTAAGTTCTGGGTTTAAAGGCACGTGCCATAACACAGCCAAGTGTGTGTACATCACTGAGGAGGATATTGAATTTCTATGATGGTCTCCATATTCTTCTCATTCTTCTTAAGTGTTGAGAGATATATTTCAGAATTTCTTTTATTAGACAAGGTCTCTCTGTAGTCTCAGCTGGTCTGGAACTCACAGTGTAGACCAGGCTAGCCTGTATCTCATTGAGATCCATCTGCCTCTGCCTCTCAAGTGCTGAGGTTACAGGTGTGTACCCCCAAGCATAGTTCACTTCAGAATATTCCAAGTATTACCTCATTATATAACTAATAGGATTATTACTTCCTGATGATTTATATATCATACATTTCTAATTTTTAAGGGACCTAATTGAATTTGCTACATTTCTTAAAAATTTTTTAAGAGTTACAATGATAGCAAAATCATTACAGTCTACATATTCATTTCTCAAGTTTTTCATTCTCTCCCTTGCTGTTCCACCAGAGGCCTCTAAAATTCTCTGTTTTCCCCTAAACTCAAGCTCAACCTTTCGTACCATCAAGGCATGTAAGTATTACATACACGTGCAACTATTCATTATGTACTGCATGGTTTGTACCCATAAAGTATAGGTAATGCTGCTTCTTGTCATACATTAATTATTTTCCAAATGAGAAAAATTTATGGAACACATGAGAACAAGAGCAATGTCTGAAAAGATAGGAGGTATTTGTTAGTATGAAGGCCACGTGAAGTGGACGAGAGTGGGGAAAATTAAACTTACACTGCAGAGAGAAGTGAGTAGGTTGAAAAGCTTCATGGGTTCAGAGGCATAGGTAAAGAGATCTTGGTTCCACTGGGCTTTGCACTGTAGGCTAATGTTTTTCATCCCAAAATTATTTTAGCTGTGAAAAACAGAGATAAGGTGCAATTCCAAGTAACTTTGCACAATGTACCCAAAGGTTCATCACAAAATAGAATTACAATTCCAAACAAAAACATCTATATCCAAATGTTTAAGAACATTGTAGGGAAATAAAGTTTTAAAAATTTGCAAAAGAAAATTTGTCATCTATCATCTATGTATCTATCTAGGTATCTATGTATCTATCGATCATCCATCATCTATGTATCTATCATCCATCATCTATATATCTATGTATCTATCTATCTATATCTATCATCTATGTATCTATTAATCTATCTATCATCCATCATCTATATCTATCATCCTTCATCTATATATCTATGTATCTATTTATCTATCATCTATATCTATCTGTCATCTATCATCTATCTATCTATCTATCTATCGATCTATCATCTATCTATCATCTATCATGTATCTCATCTATCCATCTACCTATCTCTCTATACCTATCTATCTATCTATCTATTTATCTATCTATCTATATATATATCATCTATCATATCTATCTATCATCATCATCTATCTATCTTCTATCATCTATCTCTATCATCTATCTATCATCTATCTATCTATCTATCTATCTATCTATCTATTCTATCTATCATCTATCTATAATTTATACATATGTCTCTCTGTCATCTATTTGTCATTTATCGACCACACTTCTCTATTAATTTAGTTTATAACATCAATCACATGTTTGGTAGGCTAATTCTTTATGTTATAGATGTTTACGTTTGAGAGAAAAAATAATCAGATGGTTTGAGTGGAGTAATGAGGAGTAAATGAAAAGCACGCAAAAGCATCTTTGCTTTCTTTCTTCAGGATTTATTTGATGTCAATAAAACAATGTTAGGGAAAAACTACACAGCAGTGACGGAGTTTATCCTGCTGGGCCTGACAGACCGTGTAGACCTGCAGCCTGTGCTCTTCGTGCTGTTTTTGATCATCTACCTCATCACAGTCACTGGCAACCTGAGCATGATTTTCTTAATCAGAAATGACTCGAAGCTTCACACCCCCATGTACTTCTTCCTTAGCCACCTCTCCTTTGTAGATCTCTGTTACGCCACCAATGTAACTCCTCAGATGCTGGTTAATTTCTTATCGAAGAGAAAAACCATTTCTTTTATTGGTTGCTTTATACAATTCCATTTTTTCATTGCTCTGGTCATCACTGACTACTATATGCTCACAGTGATGGCTTATGACCGCTACATGGCCATCTGCAAACCTTTGTTATACACTACCAAAATGTCTAGAGGTGTCTGCCTCTCTCTCGTGGCTGCACCATACATTTATGGCTTTGCAAATGGTCTGGCACAGACCATCCTGATGCTTCGTTTGACCTTCTGTGGGCCTAACGAAATCAATCACTTCTATTGTGCAGACCCACCTCTCATGGTCCTTGCCTGCTCAGATACATATGTCAAAGAAACTGCCATGTTTGTGGTTGCTGGATCCAACCTCACCTGCTCTCTCACCATAATCCTTATCTCCTATACTTTCATCTTCACAGCCATTCTGCGCATCCGTTCTGCAGAGGGGAGGCGCAAGGCCTTCTCTACCTGTGGGTCCCATCTGGTGGCTGTCACTGTTTTCTATGGTACTTTGTTTTGCATGTACCTTAGGCCTCCTTCTGAGAAGTCTGTAGAACAAGGGAAAATTGTTGCTGTTTTTTACATCTTTGTAAGTCCTATGTTAAACCCTTTGATTTATAGCCTGAGAAACAAAGATGTTAAAAGAGCAATTAGGAAAGTTGTCCAGAAGGAAACATTTATGAAGTAAGGTAATGGATGGTCAATATATCTTTATTATGTACTTTAAGGAGCATTTTAAATCACTTTCTGCCACCAATTAATTTTTGCTCATCACAAATGAGATATGATACAGATGGAATTAATTACCAAATGCTGTGGCAGTGACAAATCATTAGATATGTCTATGCTTAATAAATTCCAAAGTACTTTCTGAAAATTTTCAATCCTAGCAGGTGAGTTCTTTACTTCTTTATATGTGTGTGTGTGTGGTGTGTGTGTGTGTGTGTGTGTGTGTGTGTATGTGTGTGTGTGTATGCACAAAATCTGAAGGAAGATATCAGTTTATTACTCCAGGATAGATCTTTCAAATGCTTTTTCTGATCTAATGGAATCTTTGTACATATGATATTGATGGAAATGCCAGGTTTTCCTTGGAAGGGTTTGGTGTTCATTTGTAATTTTACGTGCACTCTACTACTGGCCGGTGCTGGTCCACTCTTTCATTGCTAGAGCCTGTTGTTTCAAATACCTAGATTGTGTTTTATCTTATAAGCATAGGAAGGTAAAGGTATTATGTGTGTATAAAATTCATTGTAATGTAACATTTTCATTTATGTATTAATTATTCATATTTCTCTTGGTAAATAATTCCATAATTTGTTTTACTTATTTTGATATTATAATGTTTATATTTTTTCTTATTTACTTTAGGCTTCTTTTTCATAATTTTTGGTCTTTTTGATACAGAGTTTCCCTGTAGCCCCAGCTGGTCTAGCACTCGCTATGTAGAAGAGTCTGGCCTCAGTCTCACAGAGATCCACCAGCCTCTGCCTGCTGAGTGCTGGGATTAAAGGTGTGTGACACCGCCACCAGGTTTTTAGACTTCTTAAATATATAAATCATTTTTTACTATATTTATATGTATCTATATATGCATACATCTAAATATTTTACATATAAACACATGGCTCTTCCATTTTCCATTTTTAAAGTTATGTATTTGAAATGTTAGAATGTTATTAATTTACACATATGAAAGATTTATATTTCAAATTATCATTTTGCCTTATTTGCTATTAGGAAATTATTGTCCTCATATGACTAATTTATAGTCACCTATAGTGTTCAATTGCTTTTAGGATTTATTTGTTGAGTCTATTATGAACTATTGATTACCTACATTCAAACTAAGATATGATAACTTTCTTTGTAAATTATAAGTTGTCATTATCAGATTTTTTCACATGATATCAGTTTTTCAGTTATTTAAAATAGTCACATATTAACATCATTTTAATTTTTGTTTTTTTTTTTGGTCCAATTTGTGTTTCTGTGATTAAACCTTCCTTTGTTTTCTTTCTGTAACTTCTTGGGTAGAGTCATTTCTATCTTTAGCCCTTTTTATTGTTTCAAACACTCTCTGTAGGGCTGGTTTGGTGAACATGAATTCTTTTGGTCTATTCATGTCATGGAAGAATTTTCTTTCTCCTTCAACTATGATAGACAGATTTGCCATTAAAGTATTCTAGGTTGGCATCTATGATCATTTATAACTTGGAATACTTTGGTCCAGGCTCTTCTAGCTTTGCATTGAAAACACAGCTGTAATTCTGATGGGTTTTTCTTTATATGTGATATGTGATGGGTTGTTTTCCTGTTGCAGCTTTCAGTATTCTCTCCTTGTTATGTACATTTAGCGTTTTACTCTGATATGCTGTGGAGAGTCACCCAATGTGGGTGCTGGAAAATGATCTCAGGTTCTCTGTAAGAACAGAAACTGTTCTTAATCACTAAGCAATCTCTCCTGTCCCAGAAGTGAGCTTATTTTTTCTGTATTGACACTAATTCAATATTTCTTTTTTCAGTTGCATTTCCATATTTGAGTGTATGCTTCAGTTAAATTATCTTATTTTTACTTCACCTGTAATAGTTCATAGGATTTCTATACAAATTATAAATCTTATGATGCATTGTAATTATCTTCAACCTTTAGGGCCTGCTGCTGTATTTGATTATGTAATAGTTGGTTTTAGCATAATAGCTTTTCAAAATTTATTGTTTATATATATATATCTTTTGTGTGATTGTATGTGATTATGTGTGTGTGTATGTGTGTGTGTGTTAAGGGACAATTTTAGGAGTCAATTCTTTCCTTTCACCATGTGGATCCCAGGAATTGAACTCAGATCATCAGGTTTAGTGACAAACACCTTAATCCACAGAGACATATTGCTAGCCCTTAACATATTAGTTTTTAATCAATTATTTGTTAATTTTTTGCAATACTGATACATCAGTGTATGTGTATGAGTGTATCGCCTGCATGTATGTAAGTGCACACATGTCGTGCAATGCCCACTGAGGTCAGAAGAGGGTGTCAAAGTCCCTGGAACTTGAGTTACGGATGGTTGTCAGCATGCATGCTTTATGAGCACTGGCCTCAACCTGGCTTCATTTTTCACATTTTCTTTCTGTTACCTGAAGTCATCAACCACATTGACCACTTTTCTAAATCTCTGCCTCTCTTACACATAGGGGCAACCTTTTTGTTTTGCTTTTGTCAGTTACAATACATTGATTTATGTCCTTGACTTACTTCTCTCTCCATCTTCAGTGTTATCTTGTAGCCACCATCCTACAGAAGGAGACAGAAGACTTTCGCCACCTACTGCCCTTCATTCTCATTGACAGTGGTTGCCATAGTCATTGGGGTAATCTCCTTATGAAATTGTGCCTTGGTTCTAGCTTCCAAATGGGCCATGATAATGTGTCATCAGTGATTTATATAGTGGCAGACTCATGATTGATCCTGCCTTTTACAGCCTAGGAAATAAGGAGGCCAAATATTTCTCAGGCATTTTTTTAAAAAAGTTTGTTAACTTGCTGTATGATAGGATTTTCTAATTTTTGAGGGAATTAAAAAAATAACCAAATTTGGGTTGAATTTGGTAGAATTTCGTAGTAGTAGAGCCCTTTTCTAACATGAGCAAACCTACACCCAAAAGGGAAGTATAACCAAAGATTAATGGGGCCAACATAATAGAAGAGCATACATATATATAACCAAAAG